TCAATTCCATACTCAGACGAGCATCCGTATATTATTTAGGGAATTTATTGAAAAAAATGTCAATAAAATCGCTTAGTAAAATTATTTCAAATAAATACTGACTGTATAATAAATTAGATAATATTAGTAATAGCGGTTCTGTTGAGCATAAGTGAACCTCTATATTTGTCCATAATTCTATTTTTAATTAATTTTGTTAATAGATTATAATTCAGTGTAGTTGATAGAGTATTTTATTATTTAAAATATTTGATTATGTCATTATATAAATAAGAAAATTTGTTAATATTATTTTTATAGATTTCGATACGATGTGCTGTTGCATTCTATCAATTATTGTTTGATCAAATAAATGACAATTTTAAACAATCGACTGAATAATCATATATTTAGATCAATAATGATTATGCAACTATTACACTATTGCAGAATTATTACACTTATTATGCAGATAATAATTATTTTTATTAGCATTATAATTTGTCAAGCCTAATATTTTCCAGTTTATGCTTGTACAGTTAATAGTTAATATATATTCATTTAATATTAATCTGATTTAAACCATAAATTGGTCTTCATTCCATTCATTAAAAGTAATAAATCTATGAAACTCAAAATATTTTGATATCAAAGCTAACTCGGCTACTGATGTCTTCAACCCTTCTTTTTTTTTTTAAATTATGAATACTTCTATTAGAATTACCACTAATATTTATATTAAATATAGATTTTATTATGAATAGTTAATATAGGAGTTGATGATGAATTAATTTTGTGTTGAGTTCGTTAAACAATTTGGAAGTTGAATTTAAAAAATTTAAAACGGTTTTCATTCAACCTCATAGCAGTGTGATTGTTCTTATTTTCTTGAGATTTTCATAGTATCGAAGTTCAGATAAAAATATATCGTTCTAAAGTACCAGATATATTTCCAGACTTCCATAGGCTACTAATATCTTAGTTATAATATAAAACGGACTGATTTCTAGAAACGGCAGCTGAAAAAAAAGTTACTATGCTTATAATTTTATAAGTATTTTTAGTAATAATTATCTGAATATTTGTAACGTTTAAACCGAATCAGATTATTTAATTATTGATTGGTTTTTATTGCTTAATGAGTAAATGAATTTTCATGCCATTATCTTTGAATTTTCAACTATATATTTATTAAAAATGATGTAATTTAGAGAATTAAATAATTAAATGCATTTTATATATGGATGCTATATTAATTAAAAATACTCTTAAAACATTATTATTAATATTATTTATATCTAAGAAACTTTGAATCTGATATAAAACTGAATTTATTTTCTATAAAAAAGTATTTATAAAATATAGAGAAATATGATAGCCTATAATTGTGTGAGTTGGTTTGATTTAATATAAGTTTTTATTTCTGTGTAATTATAAAAACTTTCTTTCGTAGAAAAAGTAACGTTACTTGTATGTACATTCGAAGAACATTTAATTTATACATTGATTACATTACTGTGTTTTCAAGAATATTTATATTACTGAAGTTTCGTATTAAAAACAAAAAGAGAGAAATGTACTATAACGACACTATATTACATCAAATGCCATCATTAATATTGTTTAGCTATTAACAAACTTCCAAAATTATCTAGAAATAGAGTCTAGAACTTTCATCGCGTTAAAGCAGTATTTATATTTATATGGATTTTGTAATTAATCTTTTATTTCCTTTCCTTTATATAATAATTAATTTAATTTTCTTAATCTTATAATAACTATATTAACATAGTTCATTGCGGATGGCCATTTAATTTGTGGAAATATTTATTAATAAAAAATAAAAAAAAGAAATAGTTTGATCTGAATTGATTTTTCTGCACAAATGGCTATTTTATTAAATTTAATTACGTATTATAAAATAATTATAAATATATATTAAAAAATATTATGTAGATACGAAATTTGTAATAAATTCCTTATTGCAATAAATCATATTTAAAAATACGTATATTAATGAATAATTAATAGAAAATGTAAGTTTATGTTTTTATACATTTACAATTGTAATAATTAGATGATTAATTGACTTGATTTAGAAAATACAAGTTAAATGTTGTTGTATAAATAGTTATAATGTTTATGGATAATATTATCCTGCTCGTATTAATTTATTAAAAATCAATGTAATTATGAAGTACCTTCGTATTAACAGATATAATATTAATCATTGTTTTCATTAAAAATTTACGAAGTAATTTCCGTACGACAGTCTTTTAAATATTGACTATAACGAAAATTTTTTGAAAATATTAAAATTCATTCATTTAATAGCACGTAATGTAAATAAAATATAAAAATCAAAGATTTAATATTATAAATTTCGTTTAACGTTAAGTATTCATTCTAATCATTCCAATAATATAATTTCAAAGCTCAACTACGAAAACTACGTATTCATTAAATCCTATACATGTGCTCATATTATGGATATTCGCATGTATTGAAACAAAAGTAAAAGTCCAAGTGCAGTTGAGGCGAAAAGTGCTACGAGCATTTATATATATAATATATATATATATATATATATATATATATATATAATACCGCAAGATAAAAATCTCTACGCAGCCAAAAATGAAACGTCCAAGGGCAGGTAGAAAGATACGAATGCATAAATAGGAACGCGCACGTTTCTGCGAAACCTTCCATTACCCTAACGAGAGTAAAAAGTGGCGAACATCGCAGGTCGACGCGTGTCCTTCGGAAATCCACTTCTTCACCTAACTGCACCGATGACAGTGACGCCATGATCGAAAATTTCTGGTCCAGCGCACCATAGTAATGCATTCCATTATATGAATATAGGTAATGTACACATGCGCACCCGTAACGCACACACGCGCGCAAATACTCGGTACTATCTATACGACGCATTGCCCGACACCAAATACCAAGCGATCACAGCGACAGTACTTTAAGGCTTTTACACAAGAAAAGAGATAAACAAGAGAATGAAAATGAAGAATTAAAAAACCATTTGAACCTTTTAATCAGCTTTAGAGGCATACATTATTTGTAGAAGAAAAGAAAGACTTATTGTATTTTGTATTAATTTATATTTTACAGTTACATTTTTATTTCATGATATTTAATTTATGGATTGATGTTATTTAAATGTAACATTTCATTTTTATTAGATTTGGTTTTAATAAATACGTGAAAAATATTGTTACATATTTAAAAAAAAAGTCTTGGCATCGTACAAATATTTTTAACAAGCGATATGCAAATAATATACCTGCAATCATTGAGCAGTAAATTTTAATCGTCTTACGTAAGTTTTACTTTTTTTGCTATTAACTTTAAAAAAAAAAAAAAAAAAAAAAAAAATAAATAAATAAATAAATAAAGCATTAGAAGCATTAGACATTGGTACGTTAAATATTAAAATTAAAAATCATTTGATTTACGTATCTTGTTAGCAATCTGTTAATACAATTCATTAAATGCGAAAATTTTACTATTCACATTATATTTTTTTAAATACGTATGCATTATTTAAAAGTATAAATAAAAGAATTGCAGTTGCGTATATTTGTAAAATGTTGATAATAATTTTGGTAATTTTGATGCCTAGTATTGATGTTAAAAATTAACATCAATATTTTTTACATTTATATTTTCAAAATTCTTAAGTATTATTAGAATGGACTATACTTATACCCATGGATATTAAATAACATTACAAGTATCATTAAATTTTATAAAACTGAATAATTTTAATTAAGAATAGGGTATTTTAGAGAGTCTCAAAATATTAAATATTAAAGTAACTGTTGAAAAAAACAGTATATATATATATATATATATATATATATATATATATATATATATAGTTATCTATGACTGGATGTATATATTAAATTTGTTTTAAAATTACAGGCATTTGAATAAAAACTTTTATTATTCTTATTATTCGAACTTGGAAACTATCATCGCGAGTCACATATTAAGAAATATTATGAATAAATCTCCGTACAAATACAAAAAAAAAAGAGAAAAAAAGAAGAAAAGAATATTTTATTTAAGACATAATAAGACGCTATATTATACTATAATAAGTGGGCCGTGGTGTTATATTTTTATGAATTATTACGTGCAATATCTCCAAAAATAATAAATTACGATTAGAAAGTAATCGATCATTGCGAACGCCACAGTCAGATAAGCAATTTAACATGATTGCGAATTTAAAATTAAAAACGAAATTATGTCGAGAAACATTTATTGGGAAGCAAATTAAATTTTGTATGTGCTATCTAAGACGATAATAACTGCGTATAAATTAATTGATTCCTAGCGATCTTAATCGTTGGCATTTAATGGAAATTAGTTATCTAGGTTATGCATGATTATATACGTGGCGAATGATAATGCATGTCTCTACGGACGAAAAGTATTTACTATAAGAATAAAAAAATCAATTTTCCATTAGGTAGCAATGCATTAGTATGACATATGTATGAATTTATGCCATATGTATTAATAAAATGCGAAAACGGTAGTATAAAAATGATTGAAGCATCGGTGGATCGTCGTCGCATAACTGCCTCGAGCTTATGTAAATACGTCCATTTGTATTATATAATATTCCTTTGGCACACTTAACGAAGGCCATGTGAGTCGTGTAAGTCACGTAGCGGAGGCTGCTGCGACGGTAATTAATTAAATAAAAATCACGTTATTTCAAAAAGCGTTGGCTCTTGAAAGCCGCGATACTGGCCAATGGGTGGAATACGAGGGCGTCGTGGGCCCGTATCGTCATTGCTTTTTCGTAAAAGAGCGGCACGAGCCGACGAGCATACGGTAGCGCCGCCGTCGCAGAATCCGCCTTTAAGAGTGGAAATGAAGGAGGGGGCGGGAACTCGTCTCTTACCGGCCTCGCCAATTAGCCAGGCGAAGGAACAGCGCGACAGGATCAGCGTGGCTTGTAGCGCTGAGGTGCCGCGCGTCTCGTCAACCTGGACGTTGGAGGAAGCGGCGCTCGAGCCGCGGACTCGGAGTCGCAGCGCGGCGGAGCAACGGCCTATCCAGAATTGGCGCGAGGGGAAAGTCACAGTGTGCGCGTGAGCCTCCGTCCGTGCGTGTGCGCGGGCCGCGAGTCAGAGCCGGAGCCGGTTGCGAGTCTCGTGAATCGCGCGCCGATGCGTGGCCTTCCTCTCGCTGCCGCTGCGCCCAATCCGTCCCGTTGATGCTGGACGCGAGAAGGACGGGAATTGCCGCGAAGGCAACTGCACGACAAAGAGGGACCTACGGTCGGACTCGGCAGCCGCCACCGCTACCGCTACCGTCGCCGCTCCCGTTATTGTTGTTGCTGTTCCTGCTACTGTTGATGCTGTTGTTTATGCCACTGCTGCCGCCCGCTCCTTAAAATTGGTTGTTTTGCAGTCTTTGGTGGTGTGCTCGGTATGTCGATCGACACTAATGCTGGTTGATGAGGGACTGTGAAGGAGCTTTAGTGCCGGCTTTCTTTAGCGTCTTGCCTTCGTCGCGCTCGTACTTAGGAGTTCAAGCGGTTCAAAGGGTCTTTTTTTTTGTTTGGTGCTTTTTTTTTGGGCTGCTGGTTGTGCGATATTAGAGCGATATTGGAGCGAGATTCTAATGTTTCGCGTGTCATTGTGAAGTAAACGATAAGTGATGGAGGTTAATTCGTAAGACCTCGTGTCTTCTTATCCACATTATTATGGACGACTCGCTTATGATATCCCGTTTAAGGCTTTTTCTCTCTTCTTTTTTAACGAATTGACATCAATAAACATTTGATCCTAGAATCTACAGATTTTACAATTTCAATTGTTCGGGAATCTCTGTGCTTTCTTTGGGGTCACTAACATTAAAATTACTTCTCCATATAACTCTCAAGCGATAAGATTAATTCTTTATATTTGTGTCTTATATGTCTTATCCAATTAACGTAAAAACTCATTGTATAAAATAAAATATATTTTCATACGTTTTTTCTCATATTTCTCGACTCTTATCCGATGTTGCCTTATCTCTCAATATCTCAAACTATTAATTGATAAAAAAAAAAAAAAAACAATTGTATATACGTATATATAAACATCCAAACAATTAGGTCTTTATCAACAGGTATGTAAAAAATTGTTTAAAATGTTTATGAATGTTGATGCGTGTGCGTGTGTGCGCCTCTACGCTAATGGTATTATTATAAAAAAAAAAAAAAAAAAAAAAAGTAGTTTCCCATTATTCATAACCAACAAGATGTTGCCTAAGATATCACTCCATGTTCTACATTTGAAACATATAATTTCTTAAATTGGAAACACAGAGATGTAATATTGAATAATATTTCAGAAAATTTAGTAACTATGCGGCAGAAAAAGTTTCAAATTTTTCTACTTTCGATAATTAATTACTATTTGTATCGTCGTAGCCATTGGCATCGTAATTATATGCCACTCTAAGTTCTAGTTATCCGTAATAGTTTTCTGCATCGTGCATTCATGCTCCAACAAACTAATTACCGAGAATAAAAAACATACACTAATATAAAAGTATGCAATACGGTAAAACTTATTTATTTTCGACAAAGGAATTTTAATAAAACTTCGAATGCTATTATTCATCAGCTAAAAATAAAACTTCATGCTTCTAAATTAATAGCATAGGCTCTTATTTTCAAGATAATAGATATAATAATAATAATAATAATGATAATAATAACAACAACAATAATAATAATAACAATAATAATAATAACAATAACAATAACCTATCTTGCATTGTAAATTGGACAAATTTACATCTTTATCAATAGTTATTACTAAGCAACTCCTTACGCCACAACTTCCTTTACAAGGTAAATAAACATAGTCATCGTAATCTTTTATCCAACCATTGTCATATTCATTATGTCTATTGGATCAAAAGCCATTTATTTAATTTACTAAACTCTTTAGTCGTGATCAAGATTTGCCAAGAGTAAAATTATCGATCCCAACATTCAACGAAACACTCGGCAAGTAAATAAAATTATTACACAACCGTGCTACTCTGTTGTTACACCCTACGTCTCAATTGAAGCCATGCGTGGCGTTTTATAGCGCTGCTCCTAGAAACAACCTTTTATTTAATGAAAATATCATGGTCTGATTGACAGGTGTCTCTGCCGCAAAACCGAAGCTGGGTCAACGAGAGATGCGGGAGGGATTCCGCGCACCCGGTAGCACAGTCGAGGAAGCGAACAGACATCGCCGACGATCTGGAATGAACCTCGTGCAAGGGAGCACCTCCCCCCGCGTCCCATACTTTGCCTGACGAGTAACTACGAGCCGAGGAAACACTGTGTCAGGTGAGAGTTCACTTTTTGCAATTTTTTGCTCATTCGGAGACAAATACTTGCTTCGCTGATACCGTTGCGTACATCGAAACCAGCGCTCAAGTCACTTTAATATCCAATAAATTAATTCATCCACCAAAACTTTGATGAACAATGGTTGGCGACTGTTTTTATTAAGATTTTGAATTCCATATAACGCACTACGCCAATTACGCATTAATAATAATTTACTTACGGAAATCAATTATTATTAATACGATCGTATACCACATATGCATATGTAAGATTTCATAACCCTTTTCCAACTACTTGTTGGTTCTGCGAATAAACATATTTACATAAAGTTCCCAAATTATTTGATAATCTTCATTGTCTTGCGAAAAATTGTAAATTTTTTCTCTTTCTTTTTGGATTATTATGATATTAATTTATAAAATATTATGAAATTCGCGTATAAGGAAATGCAATACTTCGTTGATCGAATAAAAGATTGTTTAAGTAAAATATTTTTAATGAATAAGCATTTCTTTCTCCACTAATATTATTTAAGCATTATATTTTTGAAAAACATAAAACAGTAACATTACGGTTTTAAAAAAATTAAATTTTTCAATAAACTATAGCTGTTATGTACACACACGCGCGCACACATAAATATATATTTAACTTGATTGACAAATATATGTTATTAATGTGATCAAACTTTTTTCTAGACATGCAATTAATCTATACTTCTCATCATAAAATTTAATTTAATTTATTTTCTAAGGAAAAATTATTAATAGTAATAATTTCTATTTATCATTCTTTTACGATTAATAACTTTTTTATAATCAATATATAGAATATAAATTTTAGGAAATGCTTTATTTAAATATATATATATATATATATATATATATATATATAAATTATATTAATGTGTGTATATATTTATTCAATTTTACTCTCTTAAAATTTTAAACCAGGATAGGTTTTTTCCACTCTCCAAGAATGTATGATGTACCTTTCAAAGTGAATCCTCGAATCAATGAAATTCATTCATGAATCATGAGAATGTTAAACGTCGCATTCAAGTATCGCGCTGAATAATAAATGTCCGTACATTATCCAATAACCGCAAATAAATTTTATGGTCTTATTGAATGTTAATATAGTAAAGCAGATAATTTTCACAAAAAATTTTCTTGTTAAATATAAAATATAAAAACTCTTGAATCAAAAGTTACTAAAACCGGTTACGTTAGCATTTATATCAATTATATGCGCAGTTTTTATATACCAAATACGTAAAATTCTATTACTTATGGATTTCTTCATTATTTTTTATTTATAAATATATCATATTTTAACTAATTATAAATTACAATTATCAGATGAAATATTTATATTCTTGATCTTTAGAACATCGTATGTAATTAAAGAAGGAAAATGAAATAAAACAATGAATGAATGAATATTAACAATTGATAATTTCCTGTCAATCACTTTAATATTAATTGAATATATAATAAAGAATTGACATAAAATAAAAATTATACAAGAATTTAGTATAAGGAGATGCAATTTTTAAGGTAATTAATTAAAGATACCTCCACCTTAATAATCGACTCACAAATATTCTAAGCAATCTTGGGCTTAAATATTTCGTGAGCACTAATACATAGATGTACGGACATAAATGTAAGCGCAAAACGATAAGTTTGGTTGATCGTTATAGATCGTATTTTGTTTATTACATCAACCGCAATCTCATTCACAAAATATTTCATACCACTAAGATTTTCATTCTTATATGTTATTGTCATTAAACAAAATAATTTTTTAAATTTTATTTTCCATTTGTATTACAAATTTTTATTAAATACGAAATACGGTATATTTTTATGTCATAATATACATATATAAATAAGTTAATATAAGTTAGTATAAATTTGTAATTATTGAAAATTATTTATTTAAAAATATTTATTATCAAGTTTTGAAATAATCTATCATTTTACATAATGTGTTCATTATTTTGTAACTTAGTATATAAAAAATTTTTTTATTATTTGAAAATTTACATATATTATTTTAAACGTGTGTCATTTATATTTAATATGTTGTCAACTCAAGCAGTTTATTAAATATTAAAATAATATGTAATATTACGTACGATATTTAAAAAAATGGATATATAATTAAATCCATGTATTTCTTTCTCATATTTAAATTAATTTTTTTATTTTAATATTATTTATTATTGGATTTAATTCATCTGTCTTTATGATTAAGCTATTGATTAAGTATAAGTAATATTCTTTTCCAATATATCTACAGCATTCCTTATTTTAATACATTTAGTCATTGAAAGAAATATTAAATTCAATTGTTTTAATTGTCGTACAAAGTCAATTTGATTACTAATTGATTAAACATTCAATTTTATTATAATAATTAAAAATATTAATACAATCTAATATGCTTTATATCATTCACATAGTAAATAATTAGTGCTGAAGAAATTAAAAAAAATTTTTAATAACTCTTAATTATAAAAAATATAATAATTTATATTTTGACACGTCTGCTTTCACTTGACCTATCTATACTGGCATATGTAGTCACTTATTTTGAATTCTGTCACGTTATATAAAAATTAAAAATAAACAGACTGACTATTGTTTTTATGCTAAAATTTTTATCTCTAAAAATGTATAGAACAATTCTAGTAAATTTATTTAATCTTTGATAAGCTAATAAGTTAAAATGAAGAATAATTAAATTTTGATCATTTGATATAATTATTACATAATTTTATCGTAATTATATATATATATATATATAATTATATATATGAAATTTAATTACAATATATTTCCATATATATATATATATATATATATATATATATATATATATTGTATGAATATATATTATACTGAATTTAAATTCTGTTTTCAACTAATATTCCTATATTAATTTGTAAAGAATATTCATACTGATTTAAAGATGATCGGTTATCAAACAATAATAATTAGTAACATATTTAACGCATTTAATATTTACATTTCTTATCAAATAATTTAAAAATTGATAAATAATAAATATATATTTTATTACGTATATTATATAAATTATATATTACGTATATATATAAAACGTATATTATATTTGTAATGAAGTCATTAAACATTTGGTTTTTTATATTCCTTTTTTGCTTAGCGTTAGAACAGTATATTATATGGAAATATTTTGTAATTCATGATTATGCTGACATGAAGTATTTTGAAAATGTGTGTAACCTACAAAAACACCAAAGGCGCGTGCGATCTGATTTTTTTGTATTAATACAACGTACGTACATACATTCACAAGTGCTGTTTTATGTGTCTAGTTCAAAACTATATATATTTATTATATTTAAGCAATCCGTGAATGCTCATTAGCATAACTAGTTTCTGCAAATAAAATTCGATGAATTTTAGATTATTATTATATTAATATAAAAGCAGTTCTATAAATATTACGAAATTAATGTATTTACAAATAACTTAATGATCATAATACTTGCAATTATTATGTTCCTTATAATACACAGATTTATACGTACTAATACTAGTTATAATTTTAGTAAACTAATTATTTTATAATTATTTTATATTTAATAAAATATAAATCTTATAATTCTTACAAAATAAAATATTTAAATAATTTAATCTTTTATATAGCAGAAATACTTTATCTACTTGTTTAAATGAAAATGATATAAAATTTAAGTTATTTAAAATTTTATCTCATATTCATAATGATAATATTTTAAACATTTTTGTTTGATATAAAATTAATATATATATATATATAATATATATATATATATATATATATATATGCATATACATTACTCGCGAATGGAAATCAAATTTTATTTGTCATTTGTTTTATTTGTACAAGTAACAAATGTTATTTTTATAAATTTTGCAGTTGGTATCATGTAGGTAGAATGTATGATAAAAATAATTGAAAAATAAAAATTTTTTTTACATTTTTTAATATTTTACAATTAGAGGATTTCTTTCATTTTATTTCTAAATTTTATAATTTTCAGTCAATTGTTCTGTGACGTGTAGAATAACAAAATTCATTTTATTTTGCACCTTAAGCTAAAATATGAGTCTAAAAATATGTGACATATACTAAAAATTTTGTAAATATTATATATAATTTTAATATTTTAACATACTATTAAAAATATTAATATAAATATTTAATACTATAGTAGATTTTTTATATTCTTTAAAATTAGAAAACGGAAAAACTTTTCTTTATATTTAAATAAGAAAATATCAAAGTAAAATACATTAATATCTTCGACATCTGATGATATATATCATACATAAAAAAGAGAATATTAATGTAATCAATATTAAAATTTAATAAATACTTCGATAAAAAAAATATTTAATAAATTAATAAATATTTATGTTTTGTAATTTCAAAACATCATATGCTAACTCGATAAACACATGTTAGTATGACGTAGGGTCGTTGAGAATATTGAATTTTCAAAGATATAAATGTAAAGATCCCTTGAAAATTATACTTACATATGTGTATTTGCTAGAGTGTAGGTGAATCTTTTCGGATAACGCAGAAAAAAGAAATTTGAGCGCTGAAAAACCATCTGATCGTATGACATACTTTCGCGTTTACGTAGAAGTTATTACGTATTGTAACATTTCTCGGTTTCCTTCAGGGCACATGAAATAATCAGCCACATCTGTCTGAACTGACATATATTCGCACCCCAGTATTATATTGATATTCTTGTATTAAAATATTCCCCAACTTATTATTTTCTTACTTTCTCAACCATCGATTAATAGTAATATATTCAACAGATGAATGATATGTTCTTGAATAAGTTACGATGGTTTCCCAAATCAAACAATCTGATTCTTTGTATTAAATTTGATTTTTAATTGTTCGTTTATCTTCTGTCTTTGTCTTCTTGTATAGTAAAATTGAGT